AGGTATTTTGGAAGGTGGTGGTATTGGTTTTTTTGGTTTTGTTTGGCTTTTAGAAGAAGTACTAAAAAAACAGTCAAAGTTTTAATTATGCTTTTGTAGCATTATTAATATAATAAATAAATAAGTCCCATAGGGACCGTGGTGAACACCAACGTGGTGGGGTAACGAATCTCTTTATTCAAAGAAGTCACAGGTTAAATAGTAGTTTCAAATGGTCCCACGTCACACAGGTAACATTCTAAGCCAATCCCATACAAGCATTCAAGTGAGCATGTGCAACAGAGTCTTAGAACTACAATTCCCAGAATGCCCTGCGGCACCTGGTATAGCCACACTCCATACGCTTTAGAAGTCCCAATGATCTAGTGCTGGTATATTGTTGAAATAAATAAAGACTACATACAGTTTCTTGTGGAAGTTCATGATCTACATGAATAAGTATTCCTCTTTAAATAGCGCTACTAAACTTGCTAAATTATTTCAGGTAAAGGTTTCTTTATTCTTTACCCTTATCAAAATGAAGTGTGTTTTAAAAGTATTAGTCATAGGACTACTGAAAAAATAGTTATTTGTTGAACTGGACAGTCGTAAGTGTTTTGCCTTTTTAGTTTAAGGTGAAATGACTGAACTGTGTTATTTAGTAGCAATATTTTTATTTTCTATTGTTAGATTAATTAAATAAAAAAGGGAAGAAATCCACCCATAATTCAATCTTCAACTCTATGTATTTCTGTTATTAATTTCAGTGAAAAGAAATGATTTCTCATAGTTTGGGTAAGAAAAAAAAAGCCCAAAACCAACACCAAAACACTCTTACACATGTTCCATTGAAAGCCAAGGAGTTATTTAAAACAACAACAACAACAAAAAACCCTCAAGCACCACCACTACAAAAAATAAACCCAAACCACAACCCCAAAATTTTGATAGACTAGCATGAGCTATGCTAAATAAGGTGAACTGCTCAAGCCTCAGGCTACGCAAAGCAGAAAAACAGGGTTATGGTTTTTTGGTAGAGTACACCAATACATCAGTTTATCGAAGTACTACAAGTAAACACAATTGTTTTTCTGTCATGTTATTTACCCTTCTCACTCCTAACATCCGAGATGATTATCCTGAGAGAAAGGTTGTTTTCTCTGGTAGTAAAAAGGCCTTTTTCTGATGAAGGAATTGCCTCTTGGGTGGTGGTGGGTGGACAGGCCATCTTCTACTCTCTGCTTTGCACTGAGCTTTGCCAGGTTTACATCATCCTACCCTGTAATAAATGAGATACGCAAAACCCCACAATAAGGTGAACCCCTTGCATAAAACCCAGCATTTATTGAAAAATTGTATTTCCACTTACTGTTCAAACAGGAGTAGCCTAGAAATGGAAAAAATGAAACCAAACCCACCTTGATCAAAGTTTTCAATACACATGTTCAAACTTTTAAAAACAGATGGTATGGCCAAAGAGAACATTTCAAATTGAGATTTACACAGCCTAAGTGGGTGTGCTGGTCATGAAATGAGGAGCTGCTGAGCTGGCACAAGTGTCGGGCAGCTGGAGCTGTTTCTTTGCCCACTCTTTGTTCAGAGGGAAATGAAAAAGAAGAGCTTATCTGATACATGTGTATCCTTTTGCGTGATATTTATATCTTCATCTTCATTGTTTAATGATATATTCAGAACAAATAGTTAACACCTGCATAAATCTTGACAAATAGCAAGCTGAGTCAGAAAGATGTCAGCCCTGAAATGTGATTTTAGCATACAAACCAATGCAGTTATGAATGTGTGCCCTTCTGTCTTTTGCTTTTTTAGACAATGTTGATATATACACTTGATGCTCCATACAAGAACTGATGAACAAGAATCAGAGAAGTCCTGGCATTAGTGGAGATGATGGGAAGTAGGAGTGAGGGAAGAAGGAGTAATGGAGAAATATTTCTAATGTGAATGCATGTAGAAAAGTTTGCTGCGCCACATGCATAAGACCAGTACATTAGTAACAGAAAATTAATAATCAGCCCTGGCTTGTGTTTTTGTTTTTAATTCTGTACATAACACATGACTTACATGATAAACTTTTGGTTCCTGAGTTTGAGTGTGTTACAGTCTTCTTTATTTAAATTTTATTAATCGTTGCCTCTGAATTCTCAGAGGGTTTTTTTCATTGTTAAGAATTAAAGGATTGCAGCACTTCAGTAGAGAGGTTAATGATATTTAGGAATTATGTACTATAATTTCTCAGGAGCATGTGAATGCTAAAGGGAGTGTGTCCATCATTGAACCTATACATGATGTTATGTAATAATCTTATTCTAATGTACATCTTGTAATGTAGAAGGCTTTATATCCACCATAAAATAATGGTTTCTGCACAGCTGTAAAACACTGACGTTCAAGCATCTTTACAGCACTTTATGTACATAAAAGCCTTGTTGTACATAAAACACAAAACATTTAAATTTCTTCTAAAAGGCTGCTTTCTATTAATATTTTGTGAAGTTACAATGTGTTCCTACTAGTTTTGGTTGTGGAGTTTGCGTGTATGATTGTAGCATGAGTTTTTCAATGCAGCGGGCTAACAGTTGGGAGCTGACTCATAAGTTGGCTTTAATCTATGTAGAAAATAGGTTTAAGTTACTTCTTTTTAACTCTGCGAATACAGTTGTAAATCCTGTGCTGTTTGCTCCCATCTACAAGTCTGGCATTGAAAAAGCACATCTGCACAGATACCTTTGGTGAAATAAAGATGGGTAGTTTAAAGATTGTTGTAGAATTTCTTATATCAGCTCCATGAATCACTTTTCCATATAAGGTTAAGGCAGAGCTTTTACCTTTAGGTTTCTGAAATTGCATGATATCTGGAAATTAAACTTGAGACATGTAGACTGAGGTCTTATCTCAAATTGACATTTTATTGAATTTTGATGTGTATATTACAAAACCAACAATAAAGGTTTGAATCAAGAAAGAAAATTAAGTTTATTTTCACTGAAAACACAGATCAACTTTTGTAGAATTTCAGTTGCTAATTTTACAATCTTTTCAATTCCGAGATTCTTACTAGAATCAAAAAGTGTGTGTTTGCAGTCTAAAGACAATTTGGAAGTAGCAGGCATTTTGTGACAACCCTATATTGATTATTTTTCATTCAGAACTGTAAAGGCAGATAAATTTTGATAACTTTATGATGGTTAAATCTGCTGAATATTTAAAAAAATTGTGGTCTTTATGAACAATTCTTAAAGCATGTTTCCTTTTCAAATGCTATTCCTATGAAATTAGAAAGACTTTTTCAAGGTATTACATTTTTCTTAGTTGAGCAAATAACAAAATTACTTTATTAAGTCTAATCTTTTTTCAGAATGTGAGACTGTATTGGCTGAAAAATCTTCTTGTTCATTTGGCACATGTACTTCTTTACAGATGCATTATGGCCTAAATTTACAAGCTATCATGTAAGGTCAAACAATTATAATGGGGTTTTACTTGTTTTAGCCTCACTTGCTGATCATCCACAGGTCTTATTGATTTAGGAAGAACCTTTTCTTCTCTACTAATGAAAATCAGGATGCTCAATTAGCTTCTTCAAGTAATCCAGATCCGGTGACTCTTGCCTGCAAATGTCGATGTTGTTATTTGAGGCTGTGATATCTAACAGGAGCTGCTACCTCTGTAGATTAAGAGAAGGGGTAGTTTAAACCAGATATGAGCTAGTGGGGGCTGATGTGGTGGGAATGATGTGGTGCAATTGATGTAGGGAGAGTGGCATAGTAGTGTGTTTTCTGGTATTACTTCCTAAAGACTTTCATTGTAAACATTTGTAAGATACATTAAAGATTGCCGTCATTGACTAGCGTTGAAATTGCACTACAGCTGCTTTCATCATGTTTTGGTACTGCACAAAGCATAAAATAGGAAAATTGATCTTATTTTATGGCATGAATGCTTTCCAAAAGAGGTCAGAGTTGTTTGACTTGAACAACCTGAACAACCTTTTCTGCTGAACCTTGGCTGCTTTTTGTGGAGAATTTGCTATTACATTTAGAGACACACAACACAACAGAAGACAGCATATTTAAAGTTGTTACGGTGTTTGTTACTCCTCTTCCCCTCAGATCCCACGAAGCCTTTTGCACTTGGGGTGCCTATTCTCTCTGTGGGTGCCAAGCCCCTTTGGACGGGTGCTCTTCTTTTCTACCTCCCTCTTTGCAAAGCCTCAGCGCTACTGGGTTCACCTCCTTGCAGCTGGTCATTATGTTTGGGGGGAATGGGAAGTGTATGATCAGATTATAATTATATGAATTTTAAAATTTATTTATGTCAGGGATCCAAGATTCTGAACTTTACTTCTTTTTACAAAATGTTTACTGGAGTTATCTTTTTGTTCCAGATATTGTAAAGGCCTTTTTTCTGCAATTATTTTTATTTTGATAACTAAATTGCTAAGGTAATGGAAGCATAACTGTGAAAGTACTTTATACCTCTAAAGTTAACTGAAGTAATTACAGTACTTGAAAATTATGTATGATTTTGGTGTTGCATAACAGTTTGTGTTGATTTTGCTGCCATTTGTAGTGAGAATACTGATTTTGATCCTCTACGAGACATACCAGTTCACTGGTTCACCAGTTCTATCTCCTTCTAACCAGGTTCTTTCTCAATATATCATCTTGCATATCTTGGAAATAGGTACTTTTACAGTCACAGTCATAGTCATAAATTCCTTCGTGGCTATTTCTCCTGGGTACCATTTACCTGTAACCCTCAAGGGGACATTTTGTACGCAGTATCTTGTATGGATATGCTTTGCTTCTACTATTTTCTGTATGACAGTTCATTTTTTTTTAGTGTGTATTTTTCTTTATAGGAGGAGACAATTTAAATAGTCATGTATTCATTCAGTGTGTTAAAAAAAAGGAATATTGATTCTTGCTGGTCTCTAGGTATTTTTGTCGTATGAGGGAGTTCATACTGATAATGTAATCAATTAATATTCTCTCTTTCAGGTTTAACAGATGAAAAAGTGAAGGCGTATCTTTCTCTTCACCCCCAGGTACTGGATGAGTTTGTGTCAGAAAGTGTAAGTGCGGAAACTGTGGAAAAATGGCTAAAAAGGAAAAATAACAGACAAGAAGGTAAGTCCTTTTCATTTGCAATTAATAGTTAGCTTTGAACAACTCAGTTGGTTTTAGATTTAGAAAGGAAACCTAGTTTTGGTAAAATTTTACTGTTATAATTTTTATGTTTTGGTTCCACAATTTTTTTAAAGGTAAAAAAAAATCTTGTGTTTTTTTTTTTTTTTTTAATGTTTTCAACCTTTTGGTATTTCTGTTTTGAATTATTTTGGTATTCATTTCAGAAGTTTAGTTTATCCATTTTAAGTTGCATATACTGTTCCGTCAACCTGAAATGTCTGCTTTGAGAACATAACTTGGGCTTCTTGGATCTAAAATTGATAAGTTTTGAATTAAGATGATGCAGGATGTGCAGGATGTAAGCCTCAGTAAATTACTGGATATACCATCTCAAAAGTTGCTACTTGCAACATATATTAAGTCAATTTTAGATAGGAATATTGACACAGAGGTTATAAACCAGTGTGTTGAATTTTAAAGGTGTTTCTGTTGGGTTGCTTTAGGTAAAATACCTCATAAACAGACCCAGAAGACATTTTTATGAGTCAGCTCAGGTTGACAGCGCCTGTAAATTTTGTAATGACCTCAAATTTTGTGAGATTGTGTGCAAACATAAAATTCATGCAATTCTAACAATGATTTGGAATGTACCAGGTAAAATGCAAAAGAGGAAATTACAAAGGTGAGGGAAGAAACACTGAGTTTGCTTTGCATGTGAATTGCTTTGTGGCTGACTTCTAAGGGGCTTGAGATTTAAGTTCTGGTAATAATTCTCATTTTAAATAGGGGGCTAAAATCATTGTGGGTAAGGGACAGAATCATATTGAGCCAGATTTTTGGTGGTAATGACTATATGTGATACTAAGGTGGCAGTAAATTGCTGTTGATTTAAAGAGATTACCTAGTGGGAGAAGTGTATAGCAATAGACTGTCAGTTTACTATATCTTTGTAGTTTATAAACTGCAGCACTGCAGGATGTTTATTGTTATAATCCACAAAAGCAATCAGAAAATCAGTGTTATGAATCAAGGGAATAAGTTGTGACAATGTTTTTTGTAAACAGAAGATAAAAAAAAAAAATTTTAGTGTTGCCAGAAATAATTACTACTTAATAATGAACTATGTTCATTTAAAAATTATGATTTTCTCTAAGGCACCTGAAACCTCTATAAGAAATCATTGTGTGTTTGAAACACAGTTTATAGTCTGGGTCAAGGATCTTGATGCTAAAACCAAATGAATACTTTGGATAATTTTCAGCTTCAAGAGTCTTATATTGCTAAATGGAATTTATTAATTCCTTAGTTGTTCAAAGTTTCCAATTTTTGGGGGGGAGGGGAGGAAGGTGTGAACTGAAGATACATATTTTTGGAAATCCTAATGAAATGTTTTGAACCAATTGCAAAAGCAAAGTAACTGCTGACCATTGTCTTAGTGAATGTGAATAGCTGCAACAGTGTGATTTGTCTGTTTTTTCTTAGACTTTAAAAATTATATATTATGCCTAATTCTCCCCAAACTTGTATTAAAAGTGTCAAGCAATAGTTATTCTATCATTATCATTCAGCTTCATATCTGTTATCATCAAAAGAGTCTTTCTGCCTTCCTGCTGCTTCCCTTTTTCTGACAGTGATCTTTAAGGTGGCCGTATTTCTTACACTACAGGCAGTTATGCAGATGTGGCTTCCTTAGTGTTGGATTTTAGGTGAAAATAAGCAGAACCAGATTTAAAACTACACTTGCCAAGTCAAAAAGAATAATTTGAATGCATTTTGTTTATAGAATGAAACAGATACTGATGAGCCTTCTCTGTGATTTTCTTCTAGAAAGATAAAGTCTATAGCCATATAAAATCTCTCTGATAACAAAACATCCTAATTTGTCAGAATGCAACATTTTTAGGAAAGAAATTTGCTAGATGGTTTACTCAGTTCGTGTTGTGTATGTACAAATTCTACTACATGAGTTATGGTGGCATTGAGAAATGAGGAGGAGAGGATGGAACCGAATCTTTTGGTATCAGCGTGGATCTGTGGTGACTTCAAGTGACAAAGTAGTCTGAGTAACTTTACATCAGTAGGGGTATAATTTTCCCTCTATCCTCTTGCTTTAATGTAGTCTATTTTATGAATGTTCCCATTATGTAATGTGATACAGACAAACAAGTAACTTTGTTTTTATTAGAAAGTTGCCAGGCAGGCAAAATGCTCTTTTGAGGTCTTTGGCTTAGTGTCTGTACTCTTACACATTGGTGACGCAGAACAGTCATTAACCTATATGCAGAAATTGTGTCCTGCCTGTTATAGACATCCAGCTGTGTGTACTCTTCAGCCCGAAGTCAATGGGCCTGCAGCCAGGGTAGTTTATCTGAATTTCATTAGCACGAGCATGAACTGAAATGTCCGATTTGGACTTAAGTGAACCAAAATTTATCTGTGACTGAGATTCACCGAATTAGATGCTTTAGATGGATTTTTTTTTTAAACCTAGAGTATTAAAAAGGAAGGAAGTCAATAAATACCATGTTATTTAAGGTGTAGCTATATCCCAAAATATAATAAGTTGTGTCGAAATGTGTGCGACAAATCTTGTATCTATCATAGTAAATGTTAGATTGAAAGTTGCTCATGATAGTTTGGTAGTGATGGTTATCTACCTGGGATTATATGATACATTTTTCTTTACCTTCCTTTTTTTTTTTTTTTTTTTTTTTTTTTTTTTTTTTTTTTTTTTTTTTTTTTTTTTTTTTTTTTTTTTTCTCCTGGTATATTGGAGAAAACCTGCAAAGGTAGCACTGGGAAGAAATACTGCTTATACTGATATTTTGGTATTCACTGCAACTTTTTGAACTCTGACTATTATCTACCAATAAAATACATGCTCAAAACACACCCAAGCAATTCCAAACAACTCTTTTTGTAATAAGCAAACACTTGAGTTTTATTTTTTTTCTATCCAGAAAATGGCTGAGTTAATCTGCCAGATCTTTTCCAGATGCCTAGATATAATACTCATAGAACTCACAAGACTTCTTCCATTGTCCTCTTGCATATCATTCAAGCAAAAGTAGCAGATGATTGCAGCAAGAGCCATAATATTTTGGAAGCTTTAGGCTCTGCTGCTGGATAGATTCTCATCTCCAAGAAATTTCTCAGAAAAATATTTATGAATTCCAACCTTAATTATATTATCTGAAGCTTCACTGCCACAACACTAAGAGACTAAGCACATTGATTATAAGATGATTCAGTGGTTCGGTATCAACAATGCATCTTTTTCACTGCTGATAATGAATTTCATAGCTGTCTTTCCTAATCTTTTTAAGACCTTTTTTTATAATAAGAAAAAAGAAACTGTAGTGATACAGAATTTCCACATGGAAAGCTGCCTATCACTTAGCATAGTCATTGCTTCCCATGGCACTCATGTTCATCAGAGGGCATGATCATGTGCTAATTAATGCTGAATCTGGACACATTAATAGCTTTATACATTATTGTCTTCCAGCAACGCTTGCACAAAACATGGAAAGCTATGTATAATGGGAATGTAATGTGCTTTGCTGCCATACAAATGGCAGGTAGTTCATAAATACAATTTGAAAAAAGAATTAAATGGAAAGTAGTATGTTCAGTAGAGGATACAACACTGATTATGCTCAGAAGTTACTGCTTATTAAGTGCAGTGGACTTACTGCATTTCCAGGAACCCTAAATTTCATAATTGATTAAAAATAAAAAGAAAAAAGTGAAGAAATTAGAAATTGCTTGCTTAATATGACATTATTATGATATTGCTGTAATTTTTATTCGGGTTGTATAAGTCCTCAAGGAGATATCAGAAGATTTTTCCGAAAATCTTGAAAGACAATAAGATTAATTTTCTTAGGGTAAACCTAAGGTATTGCCATCTTGCTACTAATATTATCCTTTATGGACTTTATAATGTAATAGTGTGCTGTTACCTGCTGTACATTCAAGAGAATGTATCTAGAGGAAAAGACACTGCACTGTCACTGCAGAGACCTGGGTTCGATTCCCGGTCGGGGCCCCTCCCCGGGCAGATGGAGCTCGT